TTTATTTTAAATCATGGAGCAAACTAGGTCTCTTACTTATTTGCATTGTTCTTCAAACCCAGTTTCCTGCTTAAAGCAGGCCCTCAAATATTTATGAAGAGATGGAAAATAATTTTTTAAATCCAAGATAAATGTTCATAATGACAACTCTTCTATATCAGCAATAATAAGCATCAGCAGTTAGCACTATTTTAAAGTCATCTGCTCTACTTAGAAAGTATAACCACACATTCAGATTTGCCCAGGACTGTCCTGGTTTCTTACTATTTTTCTGGCTATTAATAATGTCTACTTTCACCCTCAAAAGTATCTTGACTTAGATGATACATTATATGGTCATCCTACCCTTAAGGTAGTTTGGACTGTGGTAATGGCAAAACCCAGAAAGCAAATCCTGCTCATGTTCCAGTCACCCATCCAGCTAAACAGTATTCTCTCTCATACAGAATGATCATTTTCTCCGACACCACCTCTGCATAATTATTGTTATTTAAATTTCACATGGAAGGTTCAAACATTTTGGTGGTACACAACTTTAGATTAATGTATCGAAGTTGAATCAACTTAAGATAAAAACCATAGATAACTGAATATAACTGTGACTACCAGAAGTTTAGAAATCCTCATACACTGCTGGTAGGAATGTAAATTGGTACAGCAACTATGAAAAACAGTAAAGAGGTTCCTCAACAAATTAAGATTAGAATTACCATATAATTCAACAATTTCTCTCCTGGGTATCTACCCCCAAAATTTGAAAACCTTTTATTAGTAAAGATATATGCACCCCTATGTTCACTGTGGCATTATTCATGGTGGCCAAGACATGGAAACAATAGATTTGTCCTTCAATAATGATTGGATAAAGAAGATGTACATATATACAATGGAATATTGCTCAGCCATAAGAAAAATTACTGCTGTTTGTGACAACATAGATGGATCTTGAGAGTATTATTTTAAGCGAGATAAGTCAAGTAAAAGAAGTTGAGAACCATATGATTTCACTTATATGTGGAATATAAAACTGAAAGCAACAAATGAACAAGACAAATAAATAAAAACTCATAGACACAAACAACAGTTTAGTGTTTACCAGGGGGAAAGAGGGTGGGGGGAGTTAGAAGTAGTCAAGACATAGTGTATAAGTTCATTAATACTGTAATTGTTTTGTCATTTTCTGAATAAAATAAGGAAGATTCATACCATTTCAATTTTTCTGAACAATAAATACATATTAATTTTGTGACTGTTTAGAATTAGAAATGTGATGTTTTCTGATCCTCTTAGTGCCTAATGCATATTAAATTGACTAACTATTGCATAAATGGTTTTTTTTTTTTTTTTTTTTGGTCATTTCCAGTTATTTTATGTCAAGAATAAAGACCCATTTGTTATCAAGTGCCACCCTCCTTCAACTGTTCCTTCAGGTGGCAAATCCTGTCAGAAACAACATTCTGTAAAGCTCAAAAGGGTAACCAATACCAGCACTATCAAATGGGTTCTTTCTTCATGATAAAGTATTTACTCTAAAGGTTAACATTTTCTAAGTTAGTTCCTGAAAAAATAATTTTAAAATAGATATTTTTTTAATAGAAAGGAGGCTTCCAGGCAACTAGTTTTTGTATAATCTCTCTCTAGTTAACTGGAAAAGCAACATAAAACCCTAAAGGTATGTAAAAGCATCTATTTACTAACACGGTTAATCTGATTATCATACTAATGCATTTTGTGCATATTTTCACTCTAAAAACAGGGAACTAAACAATGTCATTAAAGTAACATGTTTCAAATGCCAAGCACCTGGTAATGTATTTTTCAGTCTAAAATTTCTTTACCCAATTTTTAATAATTTTTAAATATTCTTAAATTTATGCAGCATAATTTATAAATTCATACTGTATACTTATTCTAATTCCATTGTCATACACTTTTATCATTGTCATATACTTACTAAATGTTACTTTTGTTTAATTTTTTAAAATTATTTTAATATGGTTAGAATCAATGGTTATTCCAAAGCAAAACAAGTTTCCTTTAAAAATTTTTCTTCTCACAATTTTCTGACACTCCCATGTCTTTGCCTATCAATTTATTGAGGCATATAACTCTAGACTTTGAGTCATTTTCTCTTAGTGCTTTGATGACATTATATCACTTTTTTCTGACATCTGCTTTCAGTCCATTGTCATTTTTTTGTACACAATCTAGTTTCTTAAAATTTTATCTTTAGCTCTTAATAGTTGCTCTTTGGTAGTATACAGTTTTACCAAAAAAATGTCCAGGTATGGATTTGTCTAGGTCTTATTTGTTCTGCTTGGCACTCATTGTGCTTTTTCAGTGTGAAGTATCATGTATTTCATCAGTATTTGAAAATTTTCTGCCATTAGTAAGATTTCACATCCAGGTCTCTGGTAATTTTTTTAACCACTTATTTTTATATAGTCTTACGCCACTTTGTTGCTGTTTTTATAACGCACTCATATTTAATCGATAAAAATATATCCTTACTTCCCTTTTAGTTTTTAAAATGAAATTATATAGATGTCAAACCTCTTTATTTTTTCTTCAGTGATGACTAATGTTAACCTGCATGTATGCTTGTGTGTGTATGTGCATGTGCGCACAAAATCCTGTAAGAAAATTCTTCCATTTATGTAGCTTGAATACCAGTGGTTCTATGTTCCACTTCACAAGTCAACAGAGGAAAAGCCTCATCTTTTTCATATGACAGCTTTTGAAATACATGAAGAGAACCGTTGTGAATAATTGTATCACCATCAATAAATTTATTTGCACTTTTTCTTATGGTTCGAAATTAAAATGTGCATATTATTGTGCTATCATGATATCAGGAAGCATAAGCTAAAGTCCTAATTCTGTTATTTCAAAGATTTGAAATATAAGAACAAGTTACTTAACTTACTTAGTTGCTTCAATTATGAGTGGAGACAATGAAAACCAAGTCACAAAGTTAATACGAGGATCAGGAACTCATGGTACTCAAAGGTCGCTTCCTCAGGAAAGTTTCCCCAAACTTCTTGCTATAGCCTTAATCCTTGTGTCCTCCCAAAATTTGTATGCTGTAGTCCTCATGACTAACATGACGGTATTATGAGGTGGGCCTTGGGAGGTTATTAGGTCGTGAGAGCAAGGCTCTCATGATTGAGAATAGTGTCCTTATAAAAGAGACCCACAGTGTTCCTTATCATCTTCAGCCATGTGAGGATACAAGAAGTCCATGACTCAAAAGAGGCCCCCCACCCAACCATGCTGGAACTCTGATCTTGGATTTCCAGTCTCCAGAACTATGATAAATAAATTTCTGTTGTTTATAAGCCACCCAGTCTGTTGTATTTCATTTTAGCAGTCTGAGTAGACTAAAACGCCTCCTAAGTATCCATTTGCTCTGTCTATGACTCTATAGTATGGGTGTATAATGCCTTACTATAATCTTATAACATTGTATTTTAATAAACAGTCTGTGATCTCCTCAATGTCATGGACTGTGTCTTATTCATCTTTGGGCCCTGAGAGCCTAGAGTAAGTACCTATTTAAGGTATCGAAGGCAAAATATATGTAAAAGTAATTTTGTAATTGGAAAGCACTACCATTATCCATTTTACAGTTGTTTAAAAACTTTTGACTCTCTTTTTGACTTATTCAGTCCTTTAAAGTAATAGAACAGATGAGGCTCATCATGCGATAACCAAATTCTAGTCTTTTTAATTTCTTAAAATAGGTAGCACATAATCAAAACATTAAACTCTTCCTGAATTGGCATACAACAAAGATTAATTTTAAGTTTTATCTTCTACTAGCTCCTTCCACAGCCTAAAATCATACACATATTTACCCATCCTCGAAATCTTTCCTCAAGCCTTTCTCACCCTCCAGGGGATAACCTATTACTTTCTACGTTTTACCATCTACATTTTGTGGAGATTAGTCAAGACTTGCTAGCTTTATTCCTGTGTTACCAGTTAGCCTGATGATCAATACAACCTGCTTTCAATCCTCCCTGTGAATGACACAGAAGGATACCATCTTCCTCCCCCAATTTTCCAGCCCAGTTTTTCCTCCTCAGCTTTGAATCTCTCAAGTTGGAGCCTTTAATTAACTCATCTTTGAGACCATAATGGAGTAGTACTATGGAAAACAGATTGCAGGTTCCTCAAAAAAATTAAAAATAAAACTAAAAATATGATCCAGCAATCCTACTTCTGAGTATATATCCAAGGACATTGAAATAAGAATCCCATAGAATTATTGCACTCTTGTGTTCACTGCAGCATTAAACACAATAGCCAAGATACAGAAACAGCCTAAGTGTCTTGTCAATAAATGAATAGATAAAAACTATGTGATATTTATACCATGGAATATTATTCAGTCATGAGAAAGAAGGAAATACTGCCATTCACAACAGCTTATGGATCTTGAGGGCATTATACTCAGTGAAATAAGTCAGACAGAGAAAGACACATGCTGTATGATCTCACTTATATGTGGAATCTAAAAAGACGAATGCAGAGAAACAGTAAAGTAGTGCTTACCATGAGTTGGGGTGGGGGAAATGGGAAAATACTGGTCAAAAATTACAAATTTCCATTTATAAAATTAACAAGTTTGGGCATGTAATGTGCAGTATTATGATTATAACTAATAATAGTGTATCATATATTTGAATGCTGCTAATAGATCTTAAGTGTTCTCACCATACACACAAGAAAAGAAATAATAACTCTGTGATGGGAAGGAGGTGGAAGCTAATACTATGGTGGTAATCATTTTGCAATTTCTAAATGTATTCATTCAACACATTGTACACTTAAACCTACATAACATTATGTGCCAATTATGTCTCAGTAAAGCTGGGAACAAACATTATACTATCATAGAAGTCAATTCTTAGATACATCTCTAGATAGCATTGGTTGATTTAGATAAAGATAAGAGTAGGTCTTATGCTCATATTCACACAAAAAGCACCATTTACCTTTGATGGTGGGACAAATTCAACACATTCCAACCATGTAGTTAAAAAGGACTTTCCACATATTGTACATTTTCTTCCTCGAGAGATTGTGTTCCTGACTTGTGGATACCATGCTATGGCTTGCATTAGGAAAGGATTCTTTTCTGCTAGCTGATTCATTATAAATCTTGATGTTATTTCCTAGATTCAAAAAGAATATAGTTCCTCAGATAATTTGCAAAATAGCTGTTTTGTATTACGTTGATTCTCATTTCACTGATTTGTATTTTGGGCTTATTCCTCACAGTTTCTGTTATTTTTTCATAGTATATACAATGAATTATATTGTCAATGACTAGTATTGTAAATAAGTTTAGTTTTTGACAATGTAAGAAAAGCAACTTACTTCCATTGTAATATTTCTGTCTTTTACATACAGGAATCCAAGTTATAATAAGTTTACATTATTAGATAAAGTTTAGTTCAAATTTTGTACCTCTCATTACAACAAGCAAGGACTGTACAAATATTCAGACTGAACTGGGAAACTAACTATCATATTTACTAATGGCTAAATCCTTACTGCTAAAATTGTAGATCATGGACCAGTAGAATTTGTAGCACCTGGAAGCTTATTAAAAATTCAGAGTCTCGGCTGCATTCCAAACCTACTGAATCAGAATCTGCAATTAATAAGGTTCCCCCACGTAATCCTTTTGCATATTAAAGTTTGAAAAGCGTTAGTCTAAGTTAGCTACTGTATTAAGTACCTCAATAGAGCCATGTTGGTAAAGAGCACCAATTTCTATTAACCACATCTCTGAATTAAATTAGTATTAAACCTATCCACATAGATATTCCAGAAATTTTACTTTAGGTAATAATAATATTAAATAATAAAAGGGCGGTGAGGAAATATAAGCTGACTTTCGCCATAACCATCAACAACATAATTATCTTAAAGAAAACTCTAATTATGTAATACTTAAAATAAAATCTTCAGTGACCAAGCAAACAAAATGAACATTTAATTTACTCCATCAATGGCCCCCATTGTTTGTGCCAGTAGCTGGAAGCCCTGTATAAATGTTACATAAACAGTGGATGAATTTTAAATGTAAATAAGTGTGTGAAACTTTTTCTGGTCAAAGTAAAAGATTTATCAGTGATATTAAGGTAGTCTACATCAGTCTCTGATAGGAATCTTTGGGAATACCTACATATGTACATAAATTATCTTTCACCTATTCATCCTAATTAAAATCTTTTAAAAGTAACAACAAAATCATGGATTGCCGTATCCTGTTTCTTATTACTCTATCCCTTCCACTTAACAAGCATCTAGGAAAGCTGCCTTTATACAGCAAATGCCCTGAGCATAAGTTCCTTAAATGTCTGATTCTTCAACAGCATAACTTTCTACACATTTAAGCTCATTCTCCTGGGTGGTTGGTTACATTTTTTTTTTCCAGAAAGGATGACATAACTGAGGTCATCCTTTCTGAAAAAAAAAAATTACCCTTTCACACTAATATTACCTACTAAGTTATATGTCTATTATTACTCTTTCTTTACCTACTTACGCAGACCACAGCTTGTGATTCTGAATGAAGTACGTTTTTAGCTACAAGAATTCAAAGTGTAGGTCTCACTATAAAGCTGTAGAAAACTAATAGACAAGGATTCACTCCCCCAAATATCAGATGATGGAAGAATTTGCTGAAATACCTATAAATGGGACCTATAAATAGACCACAATCCACACAGTTCACTTTTTTTCATTTATAATTTTTGGACCCAAACATATTTGTTGCACTTAGTATGCCTCTTGACAACTCTTATAGTACCCATTATTTATATTCTCCTAGTTGCTGCCAATGTGTTACTTTGGAAGAATAACATATACCATTGAAATATAAAGTTATTATTTGAAAACATGAGTATATATAAAGATCCAATTGTCATGACCAATAGTATTTTTTAAGTTACCATTTAAAGATATGTGCAATGCAGTTTTTGTGAATATACAACTTAATGGTTGCCTAATACTAATGCTATTTAAAAGTCAAAATATCTTTTATGGACAAATAAATTATTCCTCTTGAATAGTTTGTATGCTCTTTTGTTAGAATATTTTTTAGATAACTATATGTAGGTAACCATATATAACTATGTTTAAGCTATCAGATTAAAATTAGTTTCAGGTGTATTTTTTTATTTTTCCTTACATATAATGATTTAATTTGAATTATAAAACTATCTACATACAAATTATATTTATATAAATATAAAATACATAAGATTTAAAAACAAACATGAATCTTTAGAAGGAATAATGAATTTTGGAACTGTAGTATAATCAGTTGCCACTCAGTGTATGATAGACACTAAAACATAACATCAAGAGCAAAGATTCTGAGTCACAGTCATATCAATAAACAGGTACAAATCCAGGCTCTATGATGTACTAGCTCTGTGACCTCATTTGGACAAGTCCTTAACTTCTCTGATCTTGAATAACTCATCTATAAAACAGGGATATTCTTCCAGTATTATCACATAAGAGTTCAAAGAATTAAATTAGATAGCATGAGTAAAACTTAGTCTGGCATCTACTGATGCAGTATATTCTGGCTGATATTTTGTTATAATATAGTTATCAACATTAAATTAGTTCATAAACCTCTGAGGTGAAAAAAAATGTTTAAAATTCTTAACCAATACATAGCCTGAATCTGAGCCCTATAATTCTTTGATAGTCTAAGTAGTTTAATCAGTAATGTTAACTGACAGAAATTACTTTTACGTTAAGTACAAATATGAAATGTACAATAAATTTGTCACCTTTCTAAGAAAAATTCTTAGAGTTACTTTTAATAAATACCCAAGTCATTCTTGTCATAGAGTGCACTCTTGTAAAACCACCGACACACTGGGTTAACTGCTAATCCAGCCCCATTCACAAATCAGGACCACCTCCAACCAGGGATTACCCCTATTTCCTTTTCCCTCACTTCAGGCAGCCCCTTTTTGAAGCATTTCTACAGCATGGAGTCTGGAATCCAGTTGCTGAGGTTGGCATCATCATCCCAACATTTACTAGCTCTGTGAAACTACACAAATTATTTAAACTCTCTGGGACTCAGTTTACCTATAAAAGGGGGACAATAATGGTACTTATCTTTTAAAGATTATTGGGGGATTAAATTAACTCATTTTTGTTAAGTGCTTAGAATGATGTCTTGCTCGTATTAAGCTTTACATGTGTTAGTTTTTATTATTGTTATTGTTGATATTATTCTGAAATGCTTAATTCAAGGAGAACAAATAGGTTATAAGGGATTAAACAAATTAAATACTGCAATTTTAAAAACCATTTACAATTAAATTTTGAATAAGATTTTTTTTTTTCACACAAGAATTGAAAATAATATTGTTTGTGGAAGTATAGATTGATTCTATGGAAGGGAATTTGAAATGAGTTAATCAAACTTTAAAAGATGACAATTCTTTGACCAAACAATTTCACTCAGAGGAATAATATGGACATGAGAAATTTGCTGGAGATAGTCATTGTAGCCTTGTTTATAAAGGCCAGAAAGCCAGAAAATAATTAATAATCTAAACAGCTAACAGCAGGGAAGTAGGTAAAAACACTATGCTGTAATCATATATTAGAAAATGTTGTATATATCAAAAAAAGAGATCATAGATTTACTTTTATTGGTTGGAAAGGTATTTACAATATTTTGAGGGGAAAAACAAGTAAGTAGTATGCAGAGTTTGAACTCATCTTTAATAAAAAAAAAAACTTCAGGATTTATGGAAAGTTCTAGCAAAATGAATGTCAGAGAATAATGATAATATTTCTACATACTGGATTTCTGAGTATTTTTATCAACTTCTATTGTTTTTTTCCTCTAATTTCTCTAAAAGAGCTCGAATTACCTTTGTAATAAATTTTTCTTTTAATCAGTATGGCATTGAAACTAATTTTTATTTTCTTCCTTGCTCATCTGTATGTTCTAGTTTTCTGTATTAAACATACATTATTTATGTAACAAAGGAAATATTATTTTTTAAAAAACTAAACCATTGAACAAGATTGGTTGTTTCCTGCATCCAGGAAACTTGAATCCTACACAATTTTTGAAAGTCTTAAGACAATCCTCCTTGTTCAGTTACATAAAGACTTAAAAGGACCTGAGAAGTTCAAATTCATAATTGAGACATACTCAAAGGTGGGAATATTTGTGAACTTTAACTCATCTAACACCAAAGGACAAACAAAGAGAGTCCACTAATATGCTTTCCTATTCCTTCTTTTAATATCACTAACTTTCTTAACTAAAGTGAACATGATTTCTGGATCATATTCATTCATCCACTAGGAAATGAGATCAAGTAAAAAGGGATGGAAGAGGCAAAGATCCCAGTAAGAACAAATCAAATATATCTTTAGATAATGTGTGTGTGTGTGTGTGTGTGTGTGTGTGTGTGTGTCAAGGTGAAAGCAAATTTCTCCCTTTTCTTTTTTTCCAAGAAAATGTTTCCATTTCTTTGAATTTAGTCATTCTGGAAATGAGATAGGATTATACTGAATTCTGTAAGCAAGTCAAAAAGATGTACATTGCCAATGGACTAGAGTTACATTAGTTATTTGCTGGCTTGGCTGGAATGCTTTAAAAGAAAACTTTTTAAAACTTAAATCATGACTTTAAAGACTTGTGTGAATGATATAAGGCTTCACCTGTAGATTCCAGACCTCCTCTTGTTTTACAGCACTAACAGGCTGCTTCAGGAACAGTGGGTTTCCCTCACAGTAGAATTCCCTCAGCTTCAGATCCTGAAACTTTCAAAACAAAATAAAAACTTTATTTCACAACAAAATAACAAACTTTACTTCTGAGGCTAAATCTTCAATAAAAGTAGTCTAAAATTGCTTTATTTAGGACTTATATTCCACATTAATATTTTAACAACAGGACGTACTCTAGTTGTTAGAAGCATAAGAATCTTTATGCTAGTATGAATGGCAATGACCTTAGTGGTCATTGGTGGCATCTCCTCTAAGAGACGGCTGAGACACTTGTTCAGGATCACAGAACTTATTAGAAACAAAACAGGGATTAATCAAATGTTGAGAACATTTTACAAATAATATATTTATTAGAAAATCATATTTATTAGAAAAAATTATATTCTAATATACACCAAAATCTAGGTCTTAAAGACTGTCTGATGATTCATTTTAGAGAAACAGAAGAACATCAAAATGTTCTCATTATAATCTGTCGTGCACAGTGAAAATTAAAAAAGAAGAAAAAATATACAGTTCACAGGATATTGAATCTTCTATGAAGAAAACCTAAATTCAACTGGAATTTACCATTTGAGTAGACAAATAAGGGATTCTCATATTAATTTAATGCCTTGTCACCCAAAAACTCATGTAGCTTTCAAAGTTAAAATTCATTTAGGGAGTTACTTTTCTGAGCCTTAATTTCAGCTGTGAAATAGGGAAAATATGACATATTCAGGTGAAACAGTTCTGTGGAAATAAAAAAAATAGGGAGTCCTGGTATGTGGCATGTTCTGATTCCATGATGTAAATACTCCTACTATGGTTTATTCCATTCACTGAACACAGAGTCGGGAAAAGATGTAGAAAATCAGCTCTTGTAAGCCAAGACAAACTGGCACCGTTACACCACTGCAACTCATATTTATAATCAGATATTTCCCTGATTTCAGTCCAGGATTTGAAAACAAAAGAAGCACTCAACAAATTAGAAATAATTGATTTAAAATATCTTTCCAGGGCATCATGTCATTAATTTTAAAAGTCTCAGGAAATTTCTACAACATAGACAAGATTTTAAAATAAGATACAAACTAAGACTGGATTAAACATGGCAAAGTGAGAGATATTCCCAGATCTCTCCCCTTGAAACAACAATAAGCTGAACATCTAAAACTCAGCAAAAACACCCAAACTGCACACCAGCACATCTGAGCATGGGATCTGCACATAAGAACTACCACAGGTCAGAACCCCGGGTGTCAGGCAGCGGACTGGGAGAAACAAAGAAACTGCCTCTCACAGCCAGAGCTCCCTGAACAACGCTGCCTGGTAAAGCTGTGAGCTCCCCATGGCTGGCGGCAGCTCCCAGTCATTATGGCAGAAGGCAGAGAAATGCGGCTGACAGAAAAACAGGGATGGCAGAAAAACAACAGTTAATTTTTACCAGCCGTGGTTGTAAAACCAAAGCTGAGCCATAGCCCCCATCCACCATCCCAGAGGGCCCCTCCTGCCATACCCTACAAGACAGAACACCATGGAGCCCCAGGGGAATCTGAGCAAACACTACGGAAACTGTTGCTAAAACTGACAGGAATGAGACTGAGGGTACTAAGCATGATTAAACATCTATAAGAAAAGAAAAAAAAGACATTATTAAGACTTTATATAAAGCAGATCCAAGAGGCTTAAATGCCACCTACTGGAAACCAAAAGAAAAACACTTTCTTTCCAACAGACTAGGGACCATTAAAAAATAAATCTTCTTTCTAGAAAAAAAAAAAAAAAAGACACACTTCGATTAATGCCCAGGCAGAGAAATAGTCCATTAAACACCATGAACAACCAAGGTGACAAAGCATCTCATAAAGAAAGAGAAATCTCCAGAAAATAAGCTTACAGACATAGACATATTTGAATTAAATGACAGAGAATTCAGGATTGTACTTCTAAAAAAATTCAATGAGATCCAAAAAGAATCATATCAACAATTTCAGGAATTGAAAAAACTAGATGAGCAGAATGAGTTCTTTAGCAAGAATATTGAAACCTTCAAAAAGAATCGAATACACCTTCTAGAAATAAAGAACACACTGCAAAAGTTGAAAAATTAAATAGCAAGCTTGGGAAATAGAGTTGACCAAATAGAGGAAAGGATCAGTGATATCGAAGACAGAAATCTAGGAATAAATCAAAAGGAAGAAGAGAGAAACCAAAGAATGAAAAATAATGAAAGAGAAATATGAGAACTAGCTGATACATTCAGGAGAGGAAACATAAGAATAATGGGCATTCTAAAAAGGGAAGGAAAAGAAGCAAGGATTAGAAAGCATTTTCAGACAAAAAGTTGGTGATAATTTCCCAAACCTATGGGAGGAGCTTGAGACTGGAATTCAAAAAGTCAATAGAACACCCAATTATCTCAACACAAAAAGGCCTTCACCAAGACACATTTTATTAAAATTATCAAAAATCAATGACAAAGATAGAATTCTCAGGGCAGCCAAAGAAAATAAGATGGTAACCTATAAATGAAAACCTATTAGATTATCTTGGGACTTCTCAGCACAAACCTTACAACCAAGAAAGAAGGAGCTACCAGCCAAGAATAATGTATCCAGCTAAGCTCTCCTTTAGATATGAAGGAGAAATTAAGACCTTTCCAGACATATAAAAATTGAGAGAATTCTCCACTATGAGGCCTGAACTACAGAAAATACTGAAAGGGGTCAGCTCACCTAAAATAAAATAACAAAAACAAACAAACAAACAAACAAAAAAACATAATTAATACTAAGGTGACTAGCAGGCTGATAAAAGCAGAGGAGTGCAACCCTTACTAGGAACAGGGCATTATAAGCTTAAAATAAGAAGATATTTGCTATAGCAAGATAGAAATGAATGGTCAGCATACATAGAGGCAAATTGAGACAACAATGATTGAGAAGAGGAGGATTCAAAGATCCAGATTCACAAAGAGGAATGGAGATAAGGCACATGCAAAGAAAATGGACGTATAAGTACACACACACACACACACACACACACGTATACATGTGTGTGTGTGTGTGTGTGTGTATAAAACTATCCTTTACATATTTGTAATGGTAACCACACACAGAAAATTCAGAACTGAAGCATATAACAAAAGAAGAAGAACCAGAGGGAAAACCCATAAAAGCCAACCAAAATAAAAAAAAACAAAAAACAGAAACACAAGGACAAGGAAGCAATGAAAACACCAAGCTATCAAAAAGCAAGATAAAATGGCTACAAGAAGACCTCATATTTCAATAATCACCCTAAATGTAAATGGACTGAATTCACCAAGAAAAAGGTAGAGAGTTGCAGATTGGATCAAAAAACAAAATCTTACCATAGGCTGCCTCCAGGAGACACATCTCAGTTCCAAAGACAAATATAGAGTCAAAGTGAAAGGGTGGAAAATGATATTTCAAGCAAATGGCATTCAGAGAAAAGTGGAAGTAGCAATACTAATATCAGACAAAATAGACTTCAAAATAAAAAAGGTAAAGAAAGATTCTGAGAGATACTTCATAATGATAAAGGGAATCATGCATCAAGAAGATATAATGCTTATTAATATCTATGCTCCCAATCAGGGAGCCCAAAATATATAAAGAAATAACTAACAGAACTAAAGGGAGAAACAGACCAAAACATTATCATAATAGGGGACCTAAATACTCCACTGTCAGATATGGACAAATCATCGAAATAGAAAATCAATAAGGAAATAACATCCTTAAATGACACATTAGACCAACTGGACACAATTGACATTTACAGAGCCTTTCATCCAAAAACAGATGCTTATACATTCTTCTCTAGTGCACATGGAACATTCTCAAGGATTTACCACATACTAGGACACAGAGATAGCTTCAACAAATATAAGAAGATTAAAATCATACCAACCATAATCTCTGATCATAATGCTTTGAAACTAGAGATCAACTGCAGAAAGAAATCAGGAAGAACCACAAATACATGGAGATTAAACAAAATACTACTGAAGAATAACTGGGTCAGAGAACAAATAAAAAGAAAGATCAAGAGATACATAGAAATTAATGATAATGACAGTACAACATACTAAACTTTTGGGACATGGCAAAAGCTGTCATAAGAGGAAAGTTCATATCATTACAGGCCTACCTCCAAAAAAGAACGAGCCCAAATAAACAACCTAATGCTTTATCTTAAAAAAACTAGAGAAGGAAGAACAAATGAAGCCTAAAGTCAGTAGAAGGGAATAAATAATCAAAATTAGAGCAGAAATAAATGAAATTGAAAACCAACAACAAAACAATAATAGAAAAAATAAATGCAACGAAGAGCTGCTTCTTCAAAAAGATTAATAAAATTGACAAATCCATGGCTAGACTCACTAAAGATATAAGAGAAAAGACACAAATAAACAATATCAGAAATGAAAGATGGGAAATTACAACAGACACTGCAGAAATACAAAAGATCATACAAGATAATATGAAAAATTATAAAACATCAAATTTAATAAAATAAAAGAAATGGACCAGTACTTAGAAAAATGTAACCTTCCTAGACCAAATCAAGAACTGGAATAACTAAATAGATCAATTAGCAGCATGAAAATTGAAACAATCATCAAAAATCTACCAAAAAATAAAAGTCCAGGACCAGATGGCTTTACCAGTGAATTCTACAAAACATTCAAAGATTTAATACCTATTCTCAAACTCTTCAAAAAAAATAAATAAATAAATAAAGAGGAGCCAATACTTCCCAACTCATTTTATAAGGAAGTGTGAGAAAAAAAAGTGGAAAAAATAATTCCTTTTGCAATTGCAACAAAAAGAATAAAATACCTAGAAATAAATTTAATGAAACAAGTGAAGGACTTATATAATGAAAACTACAATACTTTATTAAAATAAATTGAAGAAGATACAAAGAAATGGAAAGAGATTCCGTGTTCTTGGATTGGAAGAATCAGCATAGTTAAAATGACCATATTACCTAAAGTATTATACAGATTTAATCCCGTC